GATACAGGGTGTTAAAGACGCATTCGGGCTGTTGGAAGTGGACAGGAGGGTCTACTCGGTCAGGTCCGGATGAAAGAAACGCAGAAGCTCACCCAGTGCCACCTGACAAGCCTTGCGCAGCTGGCTGTGCTGGCTGCGCTTCAGCTCCTTGTCCGACAGGATCCTCTCCAGCGCCCGAGACAGAAACATGCTCTTGGTTCTGCTGCTCTCTGTCTTCGTATGCTGTCGGTGTGGCTCGGGGAGCTGCTGCTCTTTCATGTCGCGGTCCTCCAAGCGTTGTCCGTTCAGGCCGTCATCGTCGGCCCGGCCCAGGCCCTGCTGTCCGCTCGCAGGTGTGTTAAAAACCCGAACGCTGTCCGTGCAGTCGGCCCCGATGGACGCCGCTCAGTTCAGCGCTCGGTCGCCCATGTTGGTGACGCGTGGCGTCACGTGACTGTCTTGTGTGTTGAACTGACGTGTGAAAAACTTTGGAATATAAAGGGGAATTCCACCGATGTTATCAAAATTTCTGTATAATTCAGCGGTTAAGACATACGCAAAGTCATTCAGATTGGTTTGATGTAAGATTGCTCATTTAAGAAACTTCCGACTTAGATTTCTTTACAGTGGCGGTGATAGGAACCAGGAGTCTCCATGTTTACAATGCAAATACAGCCTTTTTATTTACTACCCAAAACCACCAGTGAACCTGCATGTGTCTTCTGGGTTTATTTAAATAATGTTAATGATGGTAAAATGATGGTGAATCTGAAAAAAAGACTATTTTGCCCCAAAGAAAATACACTTAATGTATCACTCCACCATGAATGAATTCAAATAAATTGATTAAAATTTGTTTTAGAATAACACTTTATCACAAATCTACTGTAAAACTGTCGGCAGCGTAAACATAACGGTTTCAAAGTTCCCCTTTAACGGCCAATATTCCTGTGATAACCTCATTAAAAGATATGTTATTAATGTAGTATAATGTAGTACAATATGCAAAGAATAATGTATATACAATATAGCTAATTATTAAACACTGTATGTTTTATTTTTTATATTTAAACTATATGAAAACAGCACCCATGAGCCTAAATGTGGCATTGCTTCTACTATAACTATTACTAAATAAAAGAGTCAGTGTAGTTATATTGTAAAATCATATTTTTGCATTATTGTGTAAAGTCATTTAACATATGCTTGAAACAGCCTTTTTCACGAGCCATCCATGAAAGAAAATGTACATTTGAGTTGTGTACATTAAATTATGTGAACACATTATCTCTATGAAACACTTGGAATATTCCACAAGTCACATGCTCAACAGGAATCTGCAGGTCAGCTCACGGGAAGAAGATAAGCAACTGAAAAGCAAGTTCTCATGTTTTTTCACTTCTTTTCAGTGAAATTGTAGCATCTTCAAAGAGGATGCAAAAAACTTTACGCATATGAACAAATTCTCTTTTATTTTGAACAAGCACTGCAACACACAGCAAGAACTGTCCAGCCTAGCACTGTTTTTGTTCAGTTTTGTTTAGCTGGACCTGTCAGGGAGAGGGCAGGTATAGCACCCGTACCCCCTTCCTCCGGGCTATGTCCTCTCCACTGACCGTCTTTGAATTTGTTGATGCACCACTCAATTTCTTCCAGCTTGGTAGCCACGTCCCACTTCTGACACCAATGTTGCATCAGCATTAAAGAAGACATTGAAAACATTGCATGTACACGCAAATGCTCTTTTATTTTTAAACCGGCACTTCAGCAGGCAGCAAAAAAATGCCCTGCCCAGTGGTACCCCAACATGAAACACAAAGAAGGGGATAACACAGGAGGACACTTTTAACCATTAGTTAACTGCAAAACCCACCCTCCTCGGACACAATTTACATCAATGATACTTTTAGACAGATAAAAGATTGAAAGTAATTTATTCACTTAAAAATGCAAGAAATTACATCTTAAGTAATTGAGTAGAATGTTACTAATGCCCTCATGGATGCTAGTTAACCACACTTTGTGTATTTGCTAATTCTATGCCAAACAAGGGGTAAATGGCACCCAAAAAAAGGGAGGAAAAGCACTCTTTCATTGCTGTGGGCAGATATTTGAAGACAGCACAACTACACAAGCGCATTGAACATACATATTTAGTACATGTTTAGAAAAATGTATTTTTTGTTTTTGTTTGTGAATTTTGATGTTTTGATGGCTGCCTAGTTATTATACAGTAATCAGCCATAACAACAAAACCACCTCCTTGTATCTACAATGTCCATATTATCAGCTCCACTTACCAAATAGGAGCACTTTGTAGTTGTACAGTTGCAGACTGTAGTCCATCTGTCATCAGTCATTTCTCTGCTTACTTTACCTGTTACCTGTTCTTCAATGGTCAGGACACCCCACAGGACCACCACAGAGCATGCATTACTTGGGTGGTGGATCATTCTCAGCACTGCAGTGAATCTGACGTAATCTGACGAATCTGACTGATAAACTGATCATCCAGGCCTAAAGAAGGCCCAACAGTGAGCAAAATGAAAGAGGATAAACCCTGTGACGGAGAGTGACCATTAAACAGCTGTTCCATCTTCTACACACTGGGGGGCAGCATTAAATCAGAGTTCATTGCCTGACCACATTTAACACTAACCTCAATCTTTGTCCAGGCAAGAACTTCACCCATAAATGGTGAGACTTTGAAATTACAGTCATAAAAATGTTGGGAAATTTTATGATGCAGCTTGATCAGTTCCAATAACTCAGCCTTTTTTCACGTTTAATGGATGGAAGAACAGAGAGAATGATTAATTTTCATGATCCCAAGGGGAAATTTGGGATTAATCACATTAATCACACACTGATTTCTATAAATGTCTTATAAAGAATGGTCATGAAATTCAGATTTTTCTACATATTAGTTTATTTCATCCAGCTTGAAGACTATGTATACATGTGCACCTATGTCTTAATATAGTATTTATCCTTTTAAAACAGTTTCATTAAATGTGATACAAATTTACATCATATAGCATAAGAAAATACTGATCATTTCAGTACAAATCTATACTTTAGGATTTATCTAGCAAGCAAAAAAATCATTGCTCATTATCAAAAGTAGTTGACACAAAAAAGGTTTAAAAGCCCATTAGTATGGTGGTCTCTGACACACACAGGTCTCTTCCAGAAATGAAATAAAATTCACAGTATGGAAAACAGCATGTTATAATCTTCATTTTATACTCCCCGACAAATCTGAGCAATAACTCCCGCTACAATGAAGTGGCTACAAATTGCTTTGAGACCTCAGTTTGAAGAGATGATCCACTATGAAAAACAAAAATCATGAGATTTAAGCTTAACCAAAAAAAGAAAGAAAAAAAAAAACAAAACAGTAAAAATACATATTGCGTCAATTAGAAAATAAATACATTTACTGTGGTTACAATCCCCAAGTTGTGTGTAGTGGTTAGCATAAAAATAAATTAACAATGCTTTTCTAAAACTCCATTCATAAGGTCACTCGTGCTTTAAACAAAGAGCAGTTTGGAATAAGAGCATTACATCACAACCTCATCATACTACAGCATTATGTACCAGTAATAGGAAGTTGTAATGTGAGTTCATTAAAGTGTCTGTGTAAAAGGGAAGAAGGTGGATATGTTCTGGCTCTTGTCAGTCATCCAGTGTTTGCTATTCTCATCAGGTATGTCTGTACGGCTAGCCTACAGACGGACGAGAATGGGAGAGACGTGTAGAGAAAGGTCAAGCTACCTTCGTTACAATATGGATGGAGATACACTGGACAAGAGTACAGCGTTCACGGCTTGCTTTTCTAGCGAACAATTCCGTCACATTCAAGTTGTACCACTTCATGACATCCATTAATGTAATATTTAGTGTTTACTGTGTCCTCTTGCACTTACAAAACTCTAGTCCATACAGTTGCAATGCAAGTTTTTTAAGCAAAAGTAGCAGATATGCAGAGTAAATGGTAATGATAACATGAAGGAATGCATTGGAGTAGTAAGGCCTTTCCCTTGTTTATGCCGAGGTTGACCATTAGTATGGTGTAGGCCCATTTATTTATTGATAACAAGCCGTACACCATCTCAGAGGTGTTACAGGAAACATAATCAATCATCAACATCCACCCAGAGGTAGGCAGACTCCACCTTGCACTAAGACGCACAATATTTCGGAAAGGTGTGTGGAGAGGAAGTGCAGGTGTGTGAGTGTTTTGGTATGAGGGTCAGAGAAGGTGCGTTTATTGAGCGTATCTTTATTAGATAAGGCTAATGCAGTTGGTCTGCAACGTGCCCACTGCACATGGGACTACAAATCGCTGCCCGTGATCACATCTATGCTGCTTCGGTTACGCAACTGCCGAAAGGCTCGGTGGTGATCTGCTGCGGGTCAGAGTTCCGTTCAGCACTTGACACGTCACAGCAACTCACCTCTAACAAGGTTATTATAAATGTGTTTGCATTGGGCTTTTATATACTCATGCATACACACACACGGTATTGTGCAGAAGTCAGAGACCACCCTTCAAGTAGTTTTTCATTTTTCAGGAAGCTCTCTTTACTGATCAGATTAGATATAAGAAAAGCTACCTGCACAGTCAAGAGCCAAATGTCAAATGAAAGGAAGTGAAAAATCAATAGTTTCCAAAACTGGAGGTCAAAAAATGATTAAAAGACAAGGGGCTCCTCACAACCATTCAAGAGTGTTAGCAGACCACCAGAACTGTCACCGTCAGATAGACAGTACACTATGGGTCTGAAAGAAAGTGGAGCTGTCAAGAAGCTGTTACTGAGAAAAGGAAATAGACAAAAACAATATTTGCAAATCAAATGAAGATGATGCTGGTGTTCTTAGAACAATGGACTGGTCACTCCAGAGTCCAGACCTAAACACCAATGAATATTTAAAATTACTTGGATCATAATAAGAAGAAAATGCAACCAACTTATAAGACTGACTGGAGTTTGGAGGTTCCATCTTTGAAAGAAAACCTGACTGGGAATCAAATAAAGGTTCATCTCTTTGACATTTGCACAATACAGTGTGTGTGTGTGTGTGTGTGTGTGTGTGTATATATATATATTTATATATATTTATATATATAAAAATGTACACGCACACACACGGTTTATGGATAGGTGGTTTAAATTCCTGTCATATCAAGTATCATCTCCCAACATACACAATGTATTAGGAGTAGAAGCACTCTTCACACATGAAACAGTCTTTTCACCTCAGAGTGCAGAGTAAAAATGAAATGCATCAGGTTATGGTGTCAAACATATAATAAAAAACACAAAAAAAACACGTCACATAAATCAGATGCCACAGATCGGTGTGACAGCCCTTGTCATAAGGATAAATGGTTCAAAAAAATTACCAAAAACATTTGACTTATCTTTCAGGTTCTTGGCAATGATTAAAAGCATTAGCACAGGGACCGCGTCCTAATTCGTGCAGCACGCTAGAATTTGCCTCTCAATCAAACCTACATGAAAGATCATATCCTCGCACACAACAGAGTTTAAAAGCATCCTAAATTTAGTCTACGTTTGATAAAAAAACGATTCTCTTGAGAAATACTAAAAAAAGTACATCAGAAAGCAAACAATGTGACAGTTGAATTAGCGTCATACATTAGGAAATAACAGGTTTCCACACTCCTCTCCTAGTCTAACAGTATAATCTCAGAAGCCTGGCCTTCAGCAGTTACCATAGTAACCGTGAAGAGCGGAAGTCACTGTAATTTGTTCTTGGTTCGGACACCGGAGTCACATGACTCCAGAAGGAGTTATTTGCCTAGGTGAAAGCAGATTGTCGTCATTCATAATGTGCCCGGGAGAACTGTTCTCCCCCGTCGTCCCATAAGCAGGAGGAACCTGCAGACCTGTGCAATCATTCATTCATTCACACTCGTCAAGTCAAGTCCATTATTACTCATTATTGCCCCCAAATGGGGAGGGAAGTGTACAGATGCTGCCCTCAAAGGGGAAAAAACAGGGGCTAGCCCTGTAGTTAGCAAGTGCTGTATGATGGAGGTGCCGGAGGTCTTATCCACTGGAGACCCTCCTTTTTAGGCTTCAATTCGCCAGTCATATGGAGTAAAGACAGGCAAAATTAGTCCTATGGCACAAGAGACGGTGTTGGCATGTGGATTTTTTGCCTGGCGTGCATGTCTGTCATGTATTGTGCTTGTGAATGACTATAGCAGAGAGTATTATTAGGAGTTATAATATACTGTATATACAGTATATGTAGTCTGTATGCACAGCTGCATTGTGTGTGCGTGTCTCTACAGTGTGATTACTGTGCCGTCCTCCTCTAGATTCCTCCTCTCCAAGCCCCTGTCCTGGGCACTCAGAGACCCCACGCTAGCGCTGGTCGCCATGGCACCATTCGAAGGCCGAAGGTTGAGGTGGGGCTCGTATCTGGGCAGGCTTGGCATGCTATAGCTAGCTGTGGCCCCCGCCGCTGGCCGTGGGGCATGCCGCGTATCTCCCCCTGCCTCAATCACCAAGTCCTCCTCCTCCTCATCATCGCTCTCCACCTCCTCTGGCCGGAAGTTCTGAATGATATGTGATGGGGTCATTGCCGCAGCACCTGGCGTGGAGTAGCTATAGTAACTGGCGCCGCTGTCGGACGATCGTCCCGAGCTGCCAGAGGCAGCCCCGCCCCCGCTGTTGCTGTTACGCACCACATTGTTGCGCTGATTGGCCGGCTTTACGGTGATAATGAGGTTGTGGCTGTTGGCGATCATCATATCCGTAACCTGGTCCAGGGACTTGCCGGCCACCTCAATGCCGTTGACCTCCAGCACCTCGTCATTGACGGCTAAGAGGCCCGTGCTCTCTGCCAGGCCGCCAGGAACCAGGCGAGAGATGAAGATGCCTGGCACCTTCTCCAGGCCCTGGGGTGTGACGCGTACGCTGGAGCCGTCACGGATGTAGAAGCCCAGAGGTTTCTCTTGCCCATGCTTGTAGAGGCGCACACGTCGATGCGTCTCGGGAAGGATGTCCACGTCGATAATGGACGAGACGGGCCGGAAGTCTTTCGGCAGGCTGATGATGATGGGAGGCTTCTTCCTGTTAGCATCAGGCCTCAGAAGAACTGCCGCTAGTGCCGCCGGAGTCTTCTTGCGGGTCAAAGAGTCTGTTCCGAACGCGGAGTAGTCCGCCTCCTCTGCGGAAACAGAGCAGATAAAGGAGCACAAGCTGTTAGATGTGGTTATTAGGGATGCAAAGTTGATTCCAGGGGTCATTCTGACAGTTTGCAATTCACTACAGCAAGTGTTGGAGGTAATATAATACTACTGTTTCACTGCACCGCAAAAAAAGAAATGGCTTGTAGCACAGATTGAACTTCAAAGTAAGAGGAAGTTGATAGGAAGGGTTAGATCAATAGTTACATATAATTAATTGAACAATATACATCAAGTGATTACAGAAGTATGGCATATACACAAACATACACGAGACATTTAAACAGTACATTCATGCCAAACGGTCACCAAAGTGGTATGAGAATTGTTCCCTGGTTGCGTGTCAAAACTCCTTGATCTGTACCAGACCAATTATACTCCAACTACATTCCTTTCTACTTAAAAACTCATTCCCACAGCTTTGTTGTAAGGGGAGACCTAAAGGGGATCCCAAGATAAAAAAAGCCCGCCTCGTTAGTTTCGCCTCTGATCTGAAGTGTAATCTACTGTAAACCCAGGCCAAGACTCCTGCCTGCCCGCCTGCCACCCTCCCTCCCTCCCTCCCTCCTTTCAATGGGTCTCCCTCTTTCCTTCTCTCTTTCTCTCCGTCAGCAGCCATTCGCAAATTCCTCAGAGGCTTACTCACAGGGCTGTGCTGCATGGACTTTCACCTGTGAGAAAATCAAACTCAGGATTAGAGGACTAGGGGAGGTGGCAAGGAGGGAGAGCGAGAGAAAGAAAGAAAGAGAAAGAAATGGAGGTAAGAGTGTTGGAGGAAGCCAGAAAGAGAAACACTGGGGAGGGAATTAAATGCATAAAAGAGCACAGCTATTGATTAGGTGGGATTTAATGGGAGAACATAAGGAAGCCCTAGTAGAAAGTGCGTTGTCAACACTGTCCCATGGAGAGGGTAATGATTAACTCGAGCCTCTAAATCATTAACTTCTAAAACATTAGCTTACCTGTTGTGAGGGTAATTCTACTGCTTCCTGTCCCACAGACCATGTCTGAGAAATTATCTGAATGGTGACTGTACTTTGATATTAAGATCAGCGCTGACTAATCTAAAAATGACTTATTTATCAGATGAATGACTTTTTAAAGTGAATCAATAAAATTATTCTAATCCAAGAAATCAAATGTAGCCCAGACATACACGTACACACACACGCACACACACACACACACACACACACACACACACACACACACACACACACACAAAGGATTGATTGTTCTCAGAGTGTAACAGTTTCCCTCTCAATTCCCATGAGATAAAAGGAAAACTACCTGGATCTGGTCTAAAGCCATGGCCATTATATTTATTTGCCAAAATATACATGTTGGTACTTGTAGGCATAATGGTGAAATCAAATTTTCTCTCTCTCTCTGATTAAAACCACAATAACTCATTCTTGCACACACACTTGCACACACACTGTATCCTCTCTGGAGCATGCGTGCACATGCAGATCTCTGGTATGTCTGGCCTGTGCAGTCAAGCATGCTAGCTCATCTCTTATCTTTTCATCTCCTCCATCCTCCCATCTCCTTTATGCTGAAACATGGAACTATAACAATGGGGTCATGGTTGATGGTGATGGACAGAATGTAAAGACATTTTTTCGTGGCTCAAGCATTAGAACAGAGCACCACAAAGCAATTTTGTTTCAAATATTGGACTTTTTAATGCTCAAATCAATGGAAGATGGAAATATTAACATATAAAAAAGGCCCATATCCTACATATCTATTTTTGTTAGTTACTTATAATAAACAGTGTCAGGAAAAGTATGTGAACCCTTTGGAATTACCCCTATTATGTATGAAATCACCTTGTAATATGGTCACCATCAAAGTTACAACAAAGAACAAACACTCAAAACACTGTTTATACTAGTGACACAGAAAATAATGTGTTGTTATTGTCCATATTGAATACATCACTCAAACATTCACAGTGTAGGTTGGAAAAAGTATGTAAATCTTTAGGCCAGTGGTCACTGACCCTGGTCCTGGAGATCTACCTTCCCTTGGACTTCAATTAATCAAGTTCAAACCATAATCTGCCACACCTGCTGCAGCTAATTAACTTTTTCAGAAGTCCCTGATTGGCTAAATCAGAGGCATTTGTGTTAGGTGAAGGGAGGGGGCAGCATATTAGATACAAGCAGGAACTAAACTCTGCAGGAAAGTAGATCTTCAGGAGGATGGTTGGTGACCACTGCTCTAGGCTAATGACTTAAACAAATAGCTAATTGGAGTCAGGGGTTAGCAAAGTCCAATCAATGAAATGGGACTGCAGTGTGGATTAGAGCTACTTTGACTTAAATATTTTGAGTTTGCTATTCGCAAGAAGCATCTGCTGCTGTGAATCATGCCTCGCAGAGGACCTACGTTCAATAATTGTTGATTTGTATAAAGCTGGAAAGGTTACAAAGTAATTCCAAAGGGTTTCAGTATTCATAAGTCTGCAGTTGGACAAACTGTCTATAAATAGAGATGATTTAGTAACGTGTCTACTCTAGAAGTGGGCGCCCAGGCGAGATCACGCCAAAGTCACAGTGCAGAATGCTCAGTGACGTGAAAAAGAAGCATAGAGTAACAGCTAAAGGTTTGAAGGAATCATTGGACCTGGTTTGCATCAATGTTCATGAGTCTACCAGAAGAAAAGCTGCTGCTCTCTTTATTAAAAAATAAATAAAAATCACTGCACACCTGCAGTTTAACAAAGAATGCCAATGGAGAAAATGTTTTGTGGGAAGAACACAAAGCACATATGGCGTAAAAAGGGCACTGCATATCAACATGAAAACATCATCCTAACGGTGAGGTATGCTGAAGTGAACATGATAATTTGGGGCTGCTTTTCTGCCTCTGGGCCTGGACCATTCACCAAGGTACCCTGCAGGATCATGTCAGGGTGGCTGCCCACCAACTGAATCTTAGAAGCTGGGTGATGCAGCAGGACAATGACTGTAAACAACAAATAAATCTTTTACAGAATGGCCACTTTTGGAGTGGCCCAGTTAAAATCCAGACCTTAAAATGAATGATTATAATGTGGAATGACCTCAAGAAAGCTGTTCACACCAGACTTCCGAAAGATAAGGCTGAGCTAAAACAGTTATGTAAGGCAGTATGGTCAAATATTCCTTTTGAACATTGTGCAGGTCAGATCTGCAGCTACCAGAAGCAGTTGCTTGAGGTTATTGCTGCCAAAGGAGGTTGAAGCAGTTATTCAACCCAAGGGTTCACTTACTTTTTCTACCAGCACTGTCAATGTTTAATTGGTGTGCACAATAAAGATATGAAAATTATTACTGCGTATTATTAGCTTTAGCACATTGTGTTTGTTTATTCTCGAGGGTTAGATGAAGAGCAGATCACATTTTATGGCCAATTAATGCAGGAAACTAGGTAATTTAAAAGGATTCACATACTTTTTCTTGCAACTGTATGCACAGTTTCATTTACCAAAAACAGTTGTATTTAATTTTTATGTGACCATTTTCTGGTCTTTCTTTATCCCATAGCATTTAACAGGCCATGTTTATTACTGTGCTTTTAAGACTGATATATGTAAATGTGCTTTGTTCTGATTGGCTGCCCTGTATTGTGCCTCACTGAAAAAGCAGCCTGGGCTGAAACACTCCTTATAACTTCAGAGTGAATAGGCGGGGCTAAACCAGTGTGAGCTGAATAGGTGGATATGTGTTGGTTTTCATGACATCACAAAAACAGCAAATTCAAAACAGACTGTTTCTGCAGAATAGTTTTCATGTATGGACTAAGGAATGAAATGTATGTTTTGAAAACAATGTTTTCATACTACATCAAGACCTTAAAAAAAGGGATATGTTTTATGCGATATGGGCCCTTTAATGTCTTTAATTTATTCTACCACTTGTTACTGAATCATGACACCACTGTATCTTAGCGAATTCTGAATTTTTTAAATCATTACAACCCTACAAAGTACTCTTTTTGGCACCTTTATTTCTATAAGCATTTATACAGTTGTAAAAGTTTGGGCACCCCTGGTGAAATGTTTTACTGAATTTCTAAGTAAGAATATAAACACTCTTCTGCACATTTTAACACACAATTACTGTTCGTTCCTGAATGTCACACATTGGCGGGGAAATAAAACATAAAATGTGGCCTGTGCCAACATCATATATATATATATATATATATATGTGTGTGTGTGTGTGTGTGTGTGTGTGTTTTTTTTATGTTAAGCTCAGCAAGTAAACAGATTGTGCACTAAAATGTCATGTTTAAGCTTGTTCCCTGTAGAGGATGTCTTTACCTATTTTCATTTAGTGAATCAACAAAATTGAATTTGAATGGGGGTGTTAAAAAATTTATTTGCGACCGTATATCTGCTACATACTAATATCCAAATACACAAGTACATGTATGTACACACAAACACACCTCAGCTCCTGAGAGTCTCTCCAGTACAATGAAATGCCTCTGTCTCTTTGTGAAACCTGAGACCTTCACCACGGAAACCAATCCACTCATCACTACGTCTCATTACAAACATTACAAAGACAGCCTTAAGTTCTAATTACAAACACACACACACACACAAAACCATGCTACTCTCACGGTCATCTTTTGACCCCTGTTAAACACTCATCACTCTGGCTGTCCTAATCAATAGAAAGGGGAAGATCATCAATAATGCACAAACTGATTCAGACCCAGGTTGAGCTGTATGCAGCATATAGAGGAACGAATTCTCTGTGGCCCACTTAAAGAAACTCCATTTAATTTCAGTACGTAAAAGCCCCCGTACATTAATACATACTGAATAATGCATACTGACACCAACCATGCGTTGTAGTTGGAGTAAATGTTTAGCTCAGCCTGCTTTCAGAGTCAAGACCATCTGAAAATGAAACACTGCAGTGAACCTGGTGTTTTTCGGAAACCTGCTCCAGAAATGTAAATATGTAGACGTAAAACA